GAAACGTCCCTCCCCGACCGGCCTGCGCCTGCTCTTTCTTGTGATCGCTCTCCTCGCAGAGAAGCCCTTGCTCTGGACCTTTGTCAGCACAGCCCTGGCCCGGCTTGTTTCCAGCCTGACCCTCTCCTCTTCCTTCCTGTCTTTATCTGCACATCTCCAGATAGCTTTTGAGGAATTCGATTAATTTCAAGTCCTCGGTTACCTAAAATGGCTTTATTTACCCTCACGGTTCGGGTATAAAAATTAAAATTTGGAGCTGAAATCCGCATTGAGAGCTGTGGGCATGTTGCTCCTCCGACATGACCTGCTCCGAGCTGTGCTCAGAGGCCTGTCCCCAGTCTGCTCTCCGACTTTTGCCTCTGACCTTCTCTCTGTGTCCTGGACAGAGGAGGTTCGGTGGGTGAAGTCCCAAGACTCATTTATTGAGGATCTTTTCATTTCTGTCTGAAGGATTTGGTCCTTTCAGCCCTGGGGCATTTTCTCTTATTCTTTGATGTTTATTTCTTTGATAACAGTCTCCAGCTTTTCTTTCTGTTCTCTGGAATTTCGCCCAGGGTTTTGCTTTTTTTCCTATTTTTTTCATTTTTCTCCTCCATGCGAGATTTCTTTGAGTTTTACCTCCAAGCCCTCGTATTCAATTTTTTTTTGTTTGGCTCACCCGGTCTCTGCTTTCCAAGGGTTTGTTCTGGTTTTAATTAGTCCTTGGCTTCTTATTTTGGTTCCATGGAAAATGATGTTGTCATAATTAAGGAGGGTGTTGTCATCGTCTGTTGAGGTTTTCAGTAGGGTTTTGGGTTTTTTTGTTTTGTTTTGTTTTGTTTTTGGTCGGCTGCCTTGTGATTCTTCGTGTCCATCAGGCGAATTTGCCAGCTCTGCATATATGATGGCCGTGCTTATCTGTCGGTCTCAGTGGGCCTGGAAAGCAGCTGGCATTTTCTTTGGTGTGTGGGGGACCCGCATTGTCAGTGTCTAAGAACACTTTCCCCAGAAAAGTCTCCTGAAGTCCCCCTAGGCTGGACCACCTGCCTTTGGACACACATGGGGAGGGGCGGGGCAGACTTCCTGCAGGTTGGATCAGTGGCCTGCTTCGCTGGGATCCCCTCTTTCCTTCCTGGCCCCCACCTGCGGGCTCTCTGCGCCTGTCTCAGCCCAGAGGCCCAGGAGCCAAGGGACCTGAGCATGGACCTTCCTCCCAAGGTGTGAGCTCTCCTTTCGTTAGGGGTGGTTGTGCTGCCGGGGAGGGCGATGTGCGCTGTGGGCTGCAGTCTTCCTGTAACTGCTGAGCGGTTAGGGTTAAGTCTCTGTAGGTCTGGATTTCCCCGAGATGTCGGGTTCTCTGGGTATGTGATTTTCCCAAACCCAGCTGGCCACCCGTGACTTAAGGACTTATTCTGGCCATTTGGGAAGGGACTGGGCTCATTCCGGTTGGGCAGGAGTTAGACTTGCAATGGGGACAAGGGATGGAGTTGGGGGGGGGGGCGTGGTCTCGCCTGCTGCTCTGCAGCGGGCTCCCCCCACCGGACCTGGGGAGTCCCCAGGTTCTGCATCTTGGATATGTGATTTTCCCAACCCCAGCTGGCCACCCGTGACTTAGGGACTTATTCTGGCCATTTGGGAAGGGACTGGGCTCGTTCCGGTCCTTCAGAGACAAGACTGGTTGGGCAGGGGTTAGACTTGCAATGGGGACAGGGGATGGAGAGGGCGGGCGTGGTCTCGCCTGCTGCTCTGCAGCGGGCGCCCCCCACCGGACCTGGGGAGTCCCCAGGTTCTGCAGGCTCACTGCCTCTGCCCTGTGATCTGCAGGTTTCTCTCCAGTCTGATAGAGCCCCCAGGCCATCGCCATGGACTTCCAGCATCGCCCCGGGGGCAAGACCGGCAGCGGGGGCGTGGCCTCCTCCTCCGAGAGCAACCGGGACCGCAGGGAGCGCCTGCGGCAGCTGGCCCTGGAGACTATCGACATCAACAAGGTGGGCCGCCCTCCCGCCACTGTGCCGCAGCCATCTCCGTCTCTGGACCTCGGGCACCTTGTCTGAACAAGGCGACTTGGCCTGGAGCCGCAGGTCCCCACTGCCCCCCACCACTGTTAGCGGCCCAAGGTTGAAGGGGTTTTCACTGTGCGGGGTTCAGTTCTGTTCGTTCACTGAACCAGTAGCAAGGAGACCCAGTCGGGAGCCCCCTCAGGCCGTGGGCAGCGGGCAGCGAGGGGCAGCGTTTTCATTTGCCACACAGCCGTTGGCAGACCGGGTCTCCCTCGGGCACTGCTGACACGGGCCGGTCATCCTCTGGGCCTGGCGGGGTGTCGGGCACCATCTCCACCCCCGCTGCTCAGTGCCAGGAGTTCCCCTAGTCCTGACGACCACAGATGTCCCCAGATGTCACCCAGTGTCTCCTGGGGCAGAGTGGCCCCACGGGTTAGAGCATGATGGTCAGTGTGTAGTTAGTTCTCCTTAGACTTTGAGCCCCCCTGATGCCCCCCGACCCCTCACCTGAGGTATGTGCCCGGCACCCTCAGAGCTCCTCACGGGCCTCCCCTGTGGGGTCAGCTCTGTTACGGTCCCCTTTTCCAGACGAAACAGTCATGCAGAAGGAGGGGTTGTCATTGCTGAAGGTGACATGGCGTGTGGAGTTAGGGTTTGAACCTCACCGGTCTGCTCCCCCTGCTGTCAGCAGCGCGTCCCCTACTGCCTCAGTTTCTGGACAGTCGCCTGTCCTGCCCACGGGACTTGCAAGGACGTGGGTCTCTAGGACCTTCCCTTACCTCACATACTTGTCCGGTTTGTGCCGCAGCACTTGGGAGGGTGACAGGATGTCCCCGGCCCAGGAGACAGGTGAACAGCCATGCTGTTGGGGCTCCGTCTCCTCCTAGACCCAAAACTGCCACAGACGTGGGGCCAGGGGCTGCCCAGAGTCACCTGCTGCTTGGGGCGGGAGGCCGGTGGCCACAGTGTCGACCCTGTCCTGCCTGGTAGCTTGCTGCGGGTGCACAGTTGGCCCCTGGCCCTGCCAAGTGGACTCTGTCTGCACGGGACCTGTGGTAGCCCCACAGTGCTGCAGTCCCCTGCCCAGCCGGCCCCAGTCTGCTCCTAGTCCCCTGTTCCAGAGACCAGCCGCCACTCCCTGTGCCGGGTGGGGCTGGAGGGCGCTGTGGGACGCCACCTCCCGCTTTCTGAAGGGCTGTGTCTCCCTCCCCAGGACCCCTACTTCATGAAGAACCACCTGGGCTCATACGAATGCAAGCTGTGCCTGACACTCCACAACAACGAGGTGGGCCTCAGCGCTGCTCCCCGCGTCCCCTCCCCGTCCCCTTCTGTGCCCTCCCCAGTCCTAACCAGAGGCTCCCACCCTGTCCTCGGAAGCTCATTCACCTGACACGTGTGCAGAATGTGGCCGAGGCCGAAGGCCACAGACTGGGGCCGGCGCCCATGCCTGACCGTGCTCTCAAATGTGTCTCCCTACGAGAGACACTGGTCCCTCCAGACGAGGCCAAGCCCCTCTGTCCCCAGAGGCCACCACTGCTTTGGACTTGCCACTTGTCCGTCTTCAGTTCCGCTGGGGCCGTTGCTGCACAGATGCATGCCTGTGAGCCCTGGGCGCTCCCGGGCTTTGACGTTGAGCTCTGCGGCTCCCATGTGCGCGGAGCGACGCGCAGGCCTCACCCATCCTGCCTCTGCTGCTGACGCTCACTCGCTATTTCCGATTCGCAGGCGGCCATGCGCAGTGTGCCATGAGCGGTCTTGTGCGACAGCTCTCTCTCCTGCACTGTGGACGTAGGGGCCCTGCTCCCAGCAGGCAGGGGGAGCCCAGGCCTGTCCCCACTCACTGAATCGTGTCCCTTTTCCCCCCAGGGGAGCTACCTCGCACACACCCAGGGGAAAAAGCACCAGACCAACTTGTGAGTACATTGGCCCCACGCCCAGCTCCCAGCCTCGCACCCGGGCTCAGGAGCTGGCCCTCCCCTGCTGTCTCAGCCACGCCAGGTGACGGCGCAGAGGTGGCCGGGGGCCAGCGGGGCCTGCGGTCAGGCTGTCGAGCCCAGTTCGGCATGGGTGGGTGGGTGCAGCTGCCTAGATGTGAGGGGAGCAGGGGACAGCTCCTCACCCTGTGACAATGGGGGTTCCATGAATGGCGAGAAGACAGGTGGGGTTCCCAGAAGGCCCCCAGTGAGCGATGGCGGGACACGCGGCAAGAAATTAAAGGTGCCCATACCTGTCCTATCGCCGCTTCCATTCAAACGTGGGACCCCCTCCCGATTCCCCCCGACCCCTCACCTAACAGGTGCTACAAGGTCGCTGTGGGGGCGGGTGGCTCCTGGCTCCTGGTCCTGTGGCCTTGGCGGCTGTGTGTGTGTGTGTGCGTGTGTGTGTGTCTGTCTGTATGTGGAGGGGCCGCAGCGCTCTGTCTGTCCCGCCTGCAGGGCCCGGCGAGCCGCCAAGGAGGCCAAGGAGGCCCCCGCCCAGCCGGCGCCAGAGAAGGTCAAGGTGGAGGTGAAGAAGTTTGTGAAGATCGGCCGCCCGGGTTACAAAGGTGAGTCTGGCTGGGGCGGGTTGGCCTGCAGCTGGCGCCCATGGGGCGAGCCCTTCCTTGCGACCTCGCTCGTCTCAGCCATAGACTCTGCTGTGCTCTGGCCTTCACTGGCTGCCTGCCAGGTCCCCGCCTGCCCAGCTGGAACTGCCCAGCCATGGCCGTGGCGAGCACGGCGTCCCCTGTGTGCCTGCCAGGCTGTCGTGGGAGCGTGTAGCTCTTCGCACTCCTGGTGAAGATGAGTGAGAGGGTGGGAGCAGGCCTGGCGTGTCCCCATCCTATGCACTTGGAGTGGTCCATGCTCCTCAGTCAGAGAGCGGGCTTGAACAGTGAGGGTCCACAAGGCAGCTTCTCGGGGACCAGTGGCAGAGAGGGGACTCTGCGTTACTTGGGTCAAAAAGCCGGAACCTGGAGACTGCGTCCTAACAAAAGGTGGGGGGCCTTGTGTGTGACGGGCACTGTAGAGGCCTTGGGGCAGGCTAGCGTGGTGAATGTCAGCAGGGGTGTCGGGATCTAGGTGGTTGGCCACCAAAGGCCTTTCGGCCACAATAGGCCACCCGGTCTCTGTCCTGACGTGGTGAGAGACGCTGGAGGGCTTGGAGGGACGTGGCGTGCCCGGAGTTGTGCGGGGCCAACCGGGAAGCGCTGAGCTCTGCTGTGAAGGGCGCCTCATCTTGGGGGCGGGCGCAGCCTCGCCAGCCCCACCCCTATGCGTGTCTTCGGCCCTGCTTGGCTGTCCTAAGCCTGGACGAAGGGTAACACAGAGCCCTTTCTCCTACCGCCATCCGTGGGGTCTCTGGCAGGTGGCTCCTGCAGCACAGAGCCCTCTCTGGCCTCGGCGGTGCCCCCCCAGCCACGGGACTTCTCAGTGTCCCTCCTTTCATTAGTGAGTCCTTAGCCTTGGGGGGGGCGACAAGCCAGTCTGGACCTGAGACCCTCTTGTGTTGCAGTGACCAAGCAGAGAGACACAGAGATGGGCCAGCAGAGCCTCCTCTTCCAGGTGAGCTGAGCCCCAGGGCTGGTCACGAGGGGGAGCTCTTGAGAGCGGTGCTGCCACTGGGCCGTGTCCCCCCCACAGATCGACTACCCGGAGATCGCCGAGGGCATCATGCCACGCCACCGCTTCATGTCGGCCTACGAGCAGAGGATCGAGCCCCCGGACCGGCGCTGGCAGTACCTGCTCATGGCCGCCGAGCCCTATGAGACCATCGCCTTCAAGGTAGGGCGCTGGTCCCTGTCCCTGTCCCTTAGCCCAGCCCACACTGGGCGTGCCTCTCCCGGCAGGGCCTTGCCTCTGGGGTGGAAGAGGGTGTCACGAGGTGGTGCCCCATCGCAGCAGAGCCCCCCGCCTGTCCATGCTCTTGTGAAGTCCTGTGTCTGAATAGACAGTGACCAAAAAGCGCCGTGAGCCTTGACCTCCCTGGGTGGTGGGGCCACAGGCAACAGAGCACCACCGATGGCCACGTCTGTCACCCCCTCGCAAGGGCCCGCTCCAAGGCCACAGGGTAGCCCCCGGGTCTAAGGCTCATTTCCACCGCGCCCCCGCATAGGTGCCAAGCCGGGAGATTGACAAGGCCGAGGGCAAGTTCTGGACTCACTGGAACCGGGAGACCAAGCAGGTGAGGCGCCCAGGTCCGGGCAGTTCCAGGACCTGGCAGCGGCTGCCCTGGCCGTTCTGTCCCCCACCCGAGGGCCCAGTCAGCTCTTCCCCTTTCTCTCCAGTTCTTCCTGCAGTTCCACTTCAAGATGGAGAAGCCACCAGCCCCGCCGAGCCTCCCGGCCGGGCCTCCTGGAGTGAAGCGCCCGCCGCCCCCACTGATGAATGGTTTGCCCCCACGGCCGCCACTGCCCGAGTCTTTGCCTCCACCCCCACCAGGAGGCCTGCCTCTGCCCCCCATGCCACCCAGTGGGCCTGCACCCTCAGGGCCCCCGGGCCCTCCCCAGCTGCCGCCCCCAGCTCCTGGGGTCCATCCACCAACGTCTGGGGTCCACCCTCCGGCTCCTGGGGTCCACCCCCCAGCCCCAGTGGTCCACCCACCAACATCTGGGGTCCATCCCCCTGCTCCCGGGGTCCACCCTCCAGCCCCGGGCGTCCACCCTCCAGCCCCGGGCGTCCACCCTCCCCCATCTGCAGGAGTGCACCCCCAGGCCCCAGGGGTGCACCCACCAGCTCCGGCAGTTCACCCCCAGGCCCCAGGGGTGCACCCAGCAGCTCCTGGGGTACACCCCCCTGCCCCAGGGATCCATCCTCAGCCTCCTGGTGTTCACCCACCTCCTCCTGGAGTTCATCCTGCAGCTCCTGGGGTCCACCCCCAGCCTCCTGGAGTTCACCCCTCCAATCCTGGGGTCCACCCCCCAGCTCCCATGCCCCCAATGCTGAGGCCCCCGCTGCCCTCCGACGGCCCTGGGAACATTCCGCCCCCTCCCCCCACCAACTGAGGGTCCACGCTCTCTCCCTGCGAGTCCGCGTTTTGTTTCCTGTTTTCCCTTGTGCTGAAGTCAGTGTTTTGCACGGAGGTGTTTTTTGTACGGAGCCTTCCTGTGTTCCCCATCTCATTAAACAGTTTTCTCTGGAGTCTAAATGCGCTGCTCTATTGGTGGGTGGGGGGGCGCTGTGGGGAACACGTGGTGGCGCCTACTCGCCCACGAGCCCCCTCTACGTGCAGGGCAGTCCAGGGTCAGGCCTCAAGCATCTGTAGCTCACCAGGACAGTGGTGGGTGCCCTAACATGCCAGCTGTGTCCTTGCGTCTGAAAACAGGGGTACAGAAACTGCCAGCCAACAGCAGGCCTGGAGTCCATCCCGTGGGAGTGGACAGCAGAGAACCTTTGCTGTCCGAGATGACTGTTCCTGTGGCCCTATGGGTCCCCAGTGGATGGGCAGGAGACGGGCCCCAGCTGACTGGAGACCCTCAGGCCACACACCCACTGGCCTGAATGCCACCCTCCTCCAGGTCTGCCCCTGAGGCTGTTGATGTTTGGTCCGTCTGAGCTGGTCACTCCCCACTCCGGCGGGAAAACCTTGTCAAGGACAGTTGGACAAATTGGTCACAGGCCACACTTTGTATCACTGCTGGGAAGGAGATAGGCGCCAGTTGAAACAGAAGGGGCTTTGAGGAGGCCCAGGCTCCAGGCGGGCACAGGCACTGGCCCCCAAGGTCACGTCTCCTCCCAGAGAAGACAGGCCGTCCTCTAGCACAGACATCCCAGGTTCACCCGCCCATATAAGCCGGGGCAGCCCAGCCCCTCGCAGCTCCCAGGATGCAGGCTGCGCGTCCCAGGCTGGCCCTGGTGCTGTGGGCCGTGGGGGCCCTGCTGAGGGCCGGGACCCCTGGACAGGAGACCTTGCCCAGGGAGCCCTCTGTAGGCACGGGGGGCCTCATCTTTCACCAAGACTGGGACTGGCTGCCCCCGGGGGTCCGGCCGCCAGGCAGCCTGCAGGACCCCCTGTGCCTGGTGACGCTGGGCGGGGGCGGCAATGGGAGCAGCGCCCCCCTGCGGGTGGTGGGGGCGCTGAGCAGTTATGAGCAGGCTTTCCTGGAGGCTGTGTGGCATGCTCTCTGGGGGCCCCGCGACCTGGCCACCTTTGGGGTTTGCACCCCCAGCACTGGGCATGCTGCCATGCCCCCTCTGCAGTGGCTCCAGGTGTGGCTGGAGGAGCCCAGGGGGCGGCGGCTGGTGGTCCTGCACCTGGAGGAAGGTACGTGGGGGCCCACGACCAGGCTGGGTGGGGGACCCTACTCTGGTCCCGGGAGACCCTACTCTGGTCCCCGGCCACCACTCGAGTCACGTGATGACCACCGTTCTCCCGAGGAAGACCCCAGGCCCTTCCCTGGCCTCCCAGGGAAGTTGAGGCTGATGGCCCTGCTCCCTTGGGCTGGGCTGTGGGTTTGTGGCCAGGGAGGTGTGTGCCCTTCACCTTTGCCAGGTCTGGAGGCAGGAAGCCCGGCTCCCTACCCTCCACGTGCTGCGGAGAAGGTACCCCCTCCCCCCTCCGTCCAGGAGGAGCCGCTGGGTGGGGCCAGCAGTCCTGAATGACCAGTGCAGGAGTGCCCCTTCTGCTGCACACCAGGCAGCCTGGGAGGTGGTGGCCTGTCCCCAGGGCCACTGGCCTCACTTCTGCTGCGGGGAAGGGGCTGCTCAGGTGACTCCAGGAGATCCCCAAACCGAGAGACTCCAAGGGTTCAGGGAGGATAGGCGGCAGCCCCACCACCCGCTCTGTGAGCCCTCCTAGTCACCACCCACGTCCTAGCAAGTTCCAGCATCTGGTGTCCAGAGGTGGCCAGTCTCTTCTGCTGGTTCCCCAAGGCTCCCGGTTGGGGTAGGGCTCTCCCTGAAGGACTGTAGGGCGGGCTTGGGGTGAGGGGAGTGTCTCAGTGGCTCAAGTGTCTCCCCTCCGTGTTGTCCTGGCAATAGTGACGTGGGAACCAACACCCTCGCTGAGGTTCCAGAAGCCCCCACCCGGAGAAATCAGCCCCCTGGAGCTGGCGCTGCTGGTGCTGTACCCCGGGCCTGGCCCCGAGGTCACTGTCATGGGGGCCGGGCTGCTGGGCGCCCAGGTACAGGGGTAGAGTTGGATATTGCCTGGTCCCCAGGAGCTGACACCCAGGGGAGGGGCAGGAGTTTTCGAAGGGAAGGGAAAAGCACCAAGTATCCAAGGTGGACATCCTCCAGCTCCTGGGGTCCACCTCCAGATGAAGGGTAGTAAGGGCAGAGGGCAGGGTAGGGCGGGCACCTGGCGCCCCCACCCAGCCAGGCTGAGTGCCCATCTCCTCAGAGTCTATGCCCGAGCGGGGAGACCCGCTACCTGGCCCTGGCGGTGGAGCACCCGGCGGAGGCCTGGCGCGGCCTGGGGCTGGCCCTAACCCTAAAGCACCGCGGAGACGGTAGGCCCCAGGAGAGGGTGAGAGCGGGTGGGCAGGCGGCTACCCTGGGCCTAGACCCTGAGCCAGCCCCTCGTGTCCCGCCCCCCCCCAGGAGCCCCCTTGAGCATCGTCCAGCTGCAGGCGCTGCTGTTCGGCACCGACCCCCGCTGCTTCACGCGGATGACCCCAGCCCTGCTGCTGCTGCCTGGGCCCAGGCCCGCACCCATGCCCGCGCACGGCCAGCTGGACACGTTGCCCTTCCCGTCGCCCAAGTGCGCGCTGGCTTGGCCCAGGGGCACGGGGAGGTGGGGATGGTGCAGCCTCACGCCCACACCCGAACCCCCTCGCCTTCCAGGCCGATCCCGGAGCCTGAGGAGCCAATCC